GGGAGCATGGCCGGCCGCTCGCTGCGGGCCGCGGCTCGGCTGTCCGTCGGCGCGGCGCGGCAGGGCAGGTGCGTGGGCGCGGGGCCTCTGCGGCCGCGGGCGGGCGGGCGGCGGGGAGCGGAGCGGGACGGGACGGGACGTGGCGGCGGAGCGGGGCTGGGCTCGGCGCGGCGGGCCCGGGCCTGTCCCGTCCCGTCCCGTCCTGCTGGGTGAGCCGGGCCGCCCCGGCCCTTCCTGCGGGGCGGCTCCCCGTGTCCGCTGCCGGGCCGCCGCCGTTCTGTGCGCGGGGAGCGAAGCGCCGTGTGCGTGACGCAGGATTCCGGTCGCTTAGCGCGGCTGTGCCGCGGTGCCCGGGTCGGGGACGGCCGTCGTGTCCCGTTGTGCCGGCAGGCGTGGTTGGGGTGCTGTGGGTCTGAGTTATAGAAGAGCAGTGAATTTCAATAAAAGGCAGGCAGCTGGAAAGGAAAGCGAACAAAATGGATGGTCCTTTATTCTGGTGTCGGTGCGGTTTTTTTGTGCGTTTTTCTTTTTTTCCTCTGGAAAGAACTGGAAGCTGCACAAACTAATAAAGCCATGCCTTAATGGAAGCACTGCCTAACCGTGCAGCCCTGCCGCCTCCCACTCGCCTTGTAGGTGTGACAGCTGCCGTGCACCTGCAGCACGCCTTCTGAATGCAGGCCTGTGCCCATCGAGAGAATTCTGATCTTTAAGGACAGCTGACTTTGGCTGCGTGGCTGCGGTCAGCATCTCCCCTCCATCTATCTGCATGCCCTCTGACATCAGTCTGTAAATCTTTCTGAAGCGCCGGCATCATGCTATGGTCCTTTCACACCCACTGGGACTTCCCCATGTCTGTCACCTCAGGATGTGTCAGCTTCCTCCTGTGGGATTCCACCTATTTTTAGGGCAGCTGCGACTAGGACTGTGTTTAGGAGATAGAGGACAGGCTGTAAATAGCACTCGTCCTTTGTAGTGGTGCGTTTCTTTCATCCTCAAGGAAGAAGTAAATTGAGCGGCGTTTTCAGTTCTGCTTCACACTCCTCAAGTTTCCCTTTGGAGTCAGCCTGCAGTTCTTTTTTCTTGCCTCCAACTTTTGAGTCAGGCTTGTCTGAACAGCCCGTGGCACCCGGGGCGTTGCGCTGCTCATTAGTGCTCTGCAGCTTGGTTTCACTGGCTGGAGACAGCGCTCCATGCCGGCAGCTCTCTGCTTCACGTAGGCAGGGCCCCCGAGTGCAGACACAGCTCGCTCATGGCCCTCTCCTACGCACTGGAACACACCCTTCTGTGTGCTGTGAATCACCTGCATATGGAATTGACTCAGTCAGCTTCACTTCTTGAATGCAAAAGAGTTAACTTGTTTATATTGTGTTGTTTTTTTTAAGCTGAAGGTATCTAACCTGTGAGGTGCTTAGCAACGCTGCTGTCTTAGCTGAACTCAGCTTCCTTGACTCATCTGCAGCAGGGCTGACCTGCCGTTCTGCAGCTCTCCAAATGAAATACAAGAAGAAGAAGGACAGGGCTTGAGTTAGTGCTTACCACAGCCATGCTTTTCCCCACAAATAAAGCTTTCCGGTTATTAAAGGTTCATTCATGGATTTTGAAGGCATGGCAAATGCGTTACTTCTCTTCCCTCACTCCTGGTCAAATCCTCTTTCTGTAACTTTGTTAACCAGGCAGCCAAACGGGTGGGACAGGCATCACTCGAGGTGGGGTGCTGTGCCCCAAACAGGTCTCTGTGCAGCTTCTGCTGGGTGTTGGGATCTCTCTTCTTTGGCATTGTGGGAACCCAGAATGGCAGCTGATTGGGAAGCACACCTTGACAACTTGCCTGGTTCCTTAATGATCTGTGCCAGGAATGTTCTACACCAGAGCAAACGCACTGAGCAGAAACACTCAGGTCTGCGTTTGGTGCATAATAGGAATAGGAGCTGCTTGGTGCACAGATCATGTTTTATTTTTATGTGCCCACCCATAAAAACTGTAGGTGCAGATATCTTCAGTTTGTCATTAGTGCTGTGGGAGTTCTAACAACCCTTCAATCAAGATAAAATGAGGGCACACCTCAGCTGCTAAGGGAGTGGTAGGAGGTGCTTGGTGGTCTTTGGGTAGGTATATCTCTTAAAGTGTGCTTTGGTCACACAGGTAAAGCAGTCTGAGGCACCCATAGGGGACGCCTCTGCCCTTCCCCACATTGTCCTTCCATCTCTCCAGACCTTGCACAATGTCTTCTCTTTTGTACTGGCACTTGCGCTCGTCTGATGGCCCAGCAAAGTTTTTTGAGCACACTGGACAGAAAGCACTCCTGTTGGGTTTGGTTTTGGCTGGTTTAACTCCATGAGTCTTCATTCTACAGAGAAGAGACTTCCTGGAGTGAGGGACGTGGACCCATCCTTACCCAGTCTTTTTTCTTTCACATATTTGTTAAAACATCTCTAATGCCTGCCTCCTTTTCAAGAACAGCTTGCGAAAATAATGTGGAAGTTTACTTTCTGCTACTGACCACCTGTAGTGGGAGGTTAGAAACAGTGCAACTGATAGATTGTTCTTCTGTCAAAATCTGACTCTATTCAGGGTATGTCAGGGAGGTGGCATAGAGTGACATGAATCTAAAAAGATTTCTTCAAAATATTTGTCTGTTCTCTGTGCTAGCTGCCTGTTTCCTTTGAAAAGAGCCAAAATGTTGCCCAGAATCCTGTGTGCCTGCTTTTAGTAACGATGCTAAACTGAAATTCTTTCTTTTGACTGTGTTGGAACTTAACTTTCCCTTTCTTGTCACTAGTTTGTATTTCAGGGAGTCCCTGTGTGTTTTCAGCACTGCAGCTCAGCAGAGAAGTACAGGAGATGAGTGTGGGCCGGAAGATCCTCGTGATGAGCCGAAGCATCCCCTTTCTGACTGTGCCTTAGAGCACAAAGCCATCAAATTGGAAGAGCAAGTTCGAGACTTAACTGTGAGTTTGCAGCTGGTGGCGTTGCTGACTTTCATTTGGGCCCCTTGACTTTCACTTTCAGCCTTATCTTGTTCTATAAGAGCCATAACCTGCACACAGTAGCACTGTGTTGTGACAGCATTCAGAGCAGCTTTGCCTTCCCTGCAAACACCAGGTGTCAGTAGTTCCTGGGAGCAGGCCACTGACAGCTGGATCTCAGCAGGCAAAACTGTATGTCAGAGGTGGGCTGTGGTCACATTCTTTCACAGCATTGTACAGAGGGAATGTCAGTAGCTTTGTCACAGATTGTAACGTCCTGGGTCACTGTTGTCTGAGAAGTCAGCTTTGGTGGCTGGTGAGAGGAATAAATACTGCAGCACAGGGCAGTTCTGGGGATAACTGTCCAGAGTACAACTTCAGCAAGTGACAAATTAGCTTGTTACAGATCTGTTGCTAAGACCTGCCTGCTGGAGAAAGGAGCATCTCAACGTGTGCAGTGAGTCATGCAGAAAGCAGCAGCCTGACAATGTGCTGAGCACTCAGTGCTCCTGGCCTTGGGCCTTTTGAGGGGGTTGCAGTTGTGCTGATTAATCAGTAGAAGAGGGATTGGCTTTGCATGTTCTAATGAAAATGCTGGAGCCCAGTGCAAACCTTCTGGTGTGTAATGGCTTCTTTTTCAGTGGTAT